GTGTATAATGACATCTTTGAATTTCGCCAATGTTATTATGATCAGTAATAAAGATGTGCCTCAAATTACCTAACTTTTTGAATTAAATATATAGAAATAATAATGAGGTCATCGGGATAATTCAAAGGTTTAAACATGTACGTCCTTATTTATCGCCTCGTACAGGTCATCTGTCTCAACTTCTTGTTCCGAATATCCTAGAAATTCAAATATGAAAATTTATAAATTTGTAGTTAGGTAAATCGTCAAATGTAAGTAATTTACCCCATTTTGACAATAGATCGACAAGGCCTTTCAAATGAATCCACCAAGCCCTTTTACTTTTACGCTTCTTCTTATCGGTCTCTTTTGCCAAATCGACGACAGACTAAAATAAAAAAATATATTTATTTATGAAAGTGCGTCTGGTGCTAATACAGTAGAGAATTACAAGATGGTGTCTTACACTAAAAACGACCGTTGCCCCTATAATTCCAATAACCGATGCTGATTCCGGACTATTTGTGTAAACACGTGGGCGTGTCACTTTGTCAGGAGAAAGAGATGGAAATGCATGTTCTTCTATGAAATATAAACACTTCACGGCTAAACGAATGGCTCGTATACGATCTAATGGGGAAGCGGCACCTCCTTGCTGAATGTGCCCTAATACACTAGTTCGCGAATCAAAAAGTCCCTTGCCCTCAGTTTCAATTATGTTCGCGATGACGTCTGTCGTGTAAGTCTCCGAAACACATTCATTCCTAAAAAAATTTTTTTGACACATTAAAAATTAATAGACATTAATTGGTGCAAGAAAAACTTCATGTTTGGAAATTCACCGTAGAATCAAACGTCCCGAGCTGGTAAACTTCTTGTCGTCTCCGTATCTGCGTCTTAAATGGTTCACGTCAGCTTGAAGTGTCTTGAGTGATATACCCTCTTCCGGTATATAAGTACTAGTCGCACCAACCTATGTACAAAAAAAAAAAAAAAACTTGGTTAATCTCACCAGGACAATCAAAGCTCATTACAGTATCAACGCATCAATTAGCTCTATCCTTACCGCAAGTCCAGATAGAACAGCCAAATAACCACAATGACCACCATGAACTTCAACAACAAACACTCTTCTTCTAGATGCGGATGCGGATTGTTTAATGGCATCACAGCTGTCGACTATAGCATTCAGACTTGTATCGCTTCCCAATGAAAAGTCTGTACCCGGGACATTATTTGAAATGGTGGCCGGAATACAGACCATTGGTATACGGAAAGCGGGATAATGTTCTCGAGCTTCATGTAATACTCTTAATGAATCATATGCCTCAAATCCACCAATAATAAGTAAAGCATCAAATCCTTGCTTCTGAAATTGATATGCAACCATGCCAATATCATAATCCGGTTCAGTTCTATTTGTACCCAACTCCGATCCACCTTTAGATGTCCATTCATGAACATCAAACCATGAAAGCTCGCAAACATTTTCTTGCAGGAGTCCTTTGAATCCATTGTAAATGGCAATGGGTGTGTGACCACGATTAAGTGCAAAACGAACTGCTGCACGTGTCGCTTGATTCATTCCGGCGGCTGGAGCTCCGATGTGCATTATTCCTATACGAAGTCGCTAAGCAATAATATTTTGATTTTTGTTCGAATGATAAACAATTAAACTCCTAAATTTAGTGCAAACTGGCTAATCAAACCTGATGCTCCGGTACCAACATTTCTTTACTATCCACAAGGGTTGTGGCTCGATATGCTTCATAATTATCAGCAAACTCAGGATCGCGCAACTCCATAGCGCGTCTAAAGTTTTGCTTGTCGATTGCTTCTTTCACTTGATGAGTCTACAACAAAGAACAAATGTAACTTATCACCGAGAGCAATCGAACTCGATAAATGGTATGAAATTTACCACACCAGTTCAACAGCATTTATCAATGATTCGCATGTTATTTTATTTTCGCGCACACCAATCATTGGAGATGGTGTATCCGGTTTTGCCTCGAGCACCGCATTTACGGCCTCAACGCCTTGGATAGTTGCCTTAAACAACAAACTGATTATCGCCAAATATCAAATAATTAAATAAGTATAATCAAGTTTTTTCATCTTACGAGATTTCGATCGTACGCGCAAGGACTACCTCCTCGTTGGGTATGCCCTAATGTTGTAACTCTCGTATCGATCTCGATACGAACCAAGAGTTCTTTGATGTGATCGGATTTTATGGGCTTAAGATTTAGATCAATTGCGCCCTCGGCTACAATAACTATGGTCTTACGCTTTCCGAGATCGCGATGCTTTTCAGTGGTAGAAAAAAAAAATAAAAACAAAAATTAATATTACCCTTGTAACGAACTACCCTTAATTATCTCACACATACATCAAAGTGACAATATCATATTTACTCTTTTAACTATTTTACACATTTCATCCTCCCAATTTTCAGGAGGAGGACGCTCGGGAATAAAAACGAAATCGGCACCAGTACTATCGAGAGTCAAAAGTTTTTTTTTTTTTTTTTAGAAATAATCCGACTTTCCTCTTAAAAAGACAAATACTTCCTATACCTAATGGCTGCCATTAGTGCCAACCAGCCGCAGCGTCGACCCATTACTTCAATTACAAATGCGCGGGAATGACTTATAGCCGTGGAAGAAATACTATCAACTGACTCACAAATTCTATGCAGTGACGTCACGGCGCCTATCGTGATATCCGTTGAGGGCATGTCATTATCAATTGATCCCACGAGTCCGACAATGGTCAAATTCATGTACGGGGAAGATTCCTCTGCGGTCAGCTTTCCTATTGGTTATAAATACTGGTTGGACTAAAATATATTCGAAATCGATCAGATTTATACTTAATACTACCATCTTCAACCAATTCCTCTATTAAACCGGGCCATTCTTTCCGCAAGATATCAGCTCCAGTCAATGAACCGTCGCCACCGCAAACGATCAAGGCATCTATCCCATTTTTCACCAAATTATACGCTGCGGCTAATCTCCCACTGCGTTCGCGAAATTCTTTACAACGAGCCGTCCCAATACGCGTGCCACCCTAATAATACGAAAAGTTGAATTTTCGAAAATACCTAGATCAACACGTCATAAACAAATGTCACTCACTATAGGAAGATATCCCCTGACATCGGCCCACCCAAATTTTTTAATCTTTCCTCCACCTCGCACCAGTCCTATAAATTCAATAAGATGTTAAAATATTATCATATCCGCGTGGGTAATAAGGTAAAAGCGATGTTCACCTTCATATCCATCATAGATGGCATATGCTTCGCATCCTCTTGAAATAGCTACTCTCACTACCGATCTAACTACTGCATTCATTCCAGGTGCGTCACCACCGCTTGTCAGAATGCCTATTCTTTTTCCTTTAGACTTCAATGGAATAACTTCTTTTGCGGGGACAGGTTTCAATCCTTCCGGGGTAACAGGATACACATTTTTACTAAAAGGAATCGGCTTATTGGTAAACACAATAAGATTATTCAACGGGTCGCACACGCAGATTTCCGTGTGAATTGACTCATATGGAAGGGTTGTTAAGAAGCCGTCTTCAGTATAGGCATACTTTCGAAAGTGAATGTTACGGGAATTTAAGGTCGATTCCACTCCCTAATATAATGGATCAAATTTAGATGTACAAAGTGAATCGTTCAGTATCTCATTTCGGAAGTCCAGAAGCTAAAATAACCATTTATTTACCGAAAGATTTTTAGAAACTACGGCAAAGGACGCGTATTCTGGCCACAATTCATTTCCTTCGTGAGGCAACTTTTCTCCTGCATCGGGCGACAATGAAATTTTCAAAGTGTTACCGTTGGCAAGTCGTTCCTCGAACAAATGAAGATAGCATTCTTTCTGCCAGCTGTCTTGCTTGGGAACAACTCCCTGTGAAATCGTCTGAAAGCCCAAGGAGTTATAAAATTCGACACACTGATCAAATTTTTCTGTAGTTGATGCCGTTAACGCTACATACGAAAACCCTTCAAGTAAGGACATTTTGGGGGTCGAGTGAAAGAACAAAAAGACGTATCAATTTATCAATTTTGACTTCAGGTGGCCTGATCCGTTATATTAGATCATCAATACCATATGTAGCATTAATAGTGTCCTTCACGTTTACACAAGTAAAGAATTAGGTTATCAACGAATTTTGTACTAAACAATGTCATTTACTATCATATGATAAGATAATATCTATTGGATTCAGAGACGGAAAGTCTCGTATGGCCTGTACAACAAAAAAACATTTACTGTCATTCTTAAATCTCTTTAATTAAAAGAAAAAAGAATTAATTATAAATTGTTTATAAAGATTATCAGTTATTCTAATTTCTTAAAACTCTTATTTTCATAATTTTTAAAGAACTTTACTTATCTTAGTTTAACTTTAAATTTTTAGATAAGTTTTTTAAAAAATAATTATAATACTAAAAAGCAACAAATTTCTTAAATAATAAAAGGTTTTATTGAATAAAAATTATAATTTTCAAATTACTATTTCAGTTAAACAAAGTTTTTAATACTAGTTGAAATTGTAATATTCGATAATTAAATTATTATTGAATTTAATAAAATTTATTAATAAAAAGGTTGATGAATTTTTTTTAAATAGTGCTACTCAATATATCTTTATTTTGACAATAAAATAGTAATCAAACAATTTGTAAATAATTTATAAAAAATTTATTAAATCTGTAAATCCATAATATAATGATAGTGCTCTCAGGTAATCAAGTACTGTTTTTGAGTTCAATACCATTGTAAGACAGTATTATCAATAGTCTTAGATAGTATATAAAGATCTTATCTGTTCAATGATGATAATTCTACTATTTCTAATCAAAATTTTATCTAATTACAAAACTCCGCGATGGAGAGGAGCTCCCTGGCTATAATAAAGTAACAAGGAATTTTTGATTCTAAATAAAAAAATTATAAAGATATTTTAGTCAGTTTTAGTATTGTAATCATCTCATTACAAAATAGGTTCCTATATTGTTTTAACAGATATGAGAAAATTTATATGTTATAAAAGAAAAAACTAATAAATCTTAGATACAGTATATTAATTAGAAGTGATTTCTATTAAATCGATATTTATCTAAGATTTCATGTAATTATTTTATAAGCAGGCTATAATAAATTATATAAAAAGAGTGGTTCAATAAAACAAGATAATTTTAAGACTCTATATGAATATTTCATATGTATACTGTAATATATACTATAAAAAAATATCTGATAAAACAAAATATAAAAAAGTTCTATATTATAAAACTAGGATTTGTAAAAATAAAAAATATGAAAAAATAATATAGATATAAATAATAAAATAATAATACTTTTAGTTCACCTTAAACTAAGAAACACATTATTAATATATATAGAATAACTTTGTATATAAACAAAAATTGTTATATATTAGTGATAACCAATAATTTTATTATAACTAAGCTTTGTAATTCTTAAAAAAAAAAAAAAAATTATTGACAATTTAATAAAATTTATTATAAAATTGTTTATTTATAAATTAATAAAACTTTGATAATAATTTATTAATACTAAGACTTGTAGATCATTAGCATAGTGGTAGTGTTTCCAGATTACAATCACAAGATCTATAGTTCAATACCATTTAAGAATCAAAAATAAAAATTATTTTTTTAATCAAGTTTATTGATTATCCTATGAAAGTTATATCCAATTATTTAGAACCAATCTAAATTAAATTGTGTTATATAAAAATGTGACTTTCGACCTTTCATTAATTAGAAATTAAAATTTAAAGTTATATTATTAGAAGGATTACATAAAAAAAGATTTCTAATTTAGTTTTTCATAAATGTTTCAAAACTATTTTATCCTGATAGTCTCTAAAACCTCTACTTATCTAGCTCAAGACATTCTAATTTAATATTCTGCTTAATTAAAAATCAGTCAATAGAAACTGATCATATACTATAAGTGGTAACAAAAAAAGTAACATGCTTCCTTTCAAAATCTGAGCAAATAATATTTGAGAATATTGAAGAGTGTTCATATTGTATCAGGTATATGCAAAAAAAGACTAGTTTAGTGAATTAAATAATAATATATAAGCTTCATATTAACTAGTTAAAAATTATTATTTATGATTATGTATTAATTATCTGATCACTAGTTAGATATGTCTACTCTTAAAGTAGCAATAGGTTTAACTAGGTTAGTCACAATAGGTTATCATTAATCTACATATATATAGAAACATATAATTTGTATAATATAATTAATGCAATAATAGTAGAATTTCTTCAAATAAAGTTTTATATCTAATATCAGTTGCAATTTAAATTTTTAAACAAATTTTTATTAATACTTCATTAAAATTTATTATCAATTTAATAAAATATAATTGATAATTTATTAAAAATTTATTAAAATTTATTAATAATTCATTAAATATTTTATTAAATATTTAATAAAAATTCACTAATTATAAATAAATTATTTAATAAAAATTCATTAAACTTATAAAATATAATATTTATATTTATAAATTATTTGATATTATTATTATTTTTTTTTAAACACATAGTTAGACCAGTACTATATGTTTATTAATAAATATAAAAACTGATAGAAATATATGGGGCAGTTATATCATGGTCAAACTAAAACTCATACTAATTCACTTATCAATAACTTTTAATTCTAAAAGAAGCTTCAGCCTTTAAATGTGACCTTAGGAACAATATTTTGCTTCATAATAGATTTTGTATAAATACCCTCCTAATTTACACACCATTACTAACAAGTTATTATTACTTATTATTATCTAAGAAACTAATTTCGAAAAACTACAAAAATAAAAAGTGAAAATAAAAAGAAAAAAATATCTAAAAATACATAATTGTACTATATAAAAATGAAAAAAAATAAAAGTGCTCCATGTTCTCCAAAGGATCTCTACTAGAAGCTCTTTTTATTAGGAGCCAACTCTTCTAAAATATTCTTCTTCTTTCTAATTATTTGAGAAACTTATCTATTCATGATCTTGATTATTTTCTTGTGATCATCTAAGATCTTATTATCTATTCAGATTCAATGTCTTGCACAATACTTCCTTTCTTTTGGTCATAATTTTATATTTATCTATATAAAACAAAATGATTAATGGTGGATTCAGGTTCTTATATAGCTTTCAATCTTATTGTATAACTTCTGATATCTTTTAGCAGTTATGTCTAATTAAAGAAATTTTATTGATATTCATCTTAATTGCAATATTATTATACAGTATCTGAGAAAATATATTTTCAATTCTAGAGAAGAGTAGTGTTTTATATTTCTCTACTTTTTAGTCTTACAACCTAATCAGAATAAAAAAATAATCTCCTTTACATATATTATCTAATCAGAATAATGAGAAATTAAAGGTCTCAGTTTAAACAAATAATCACATTTTTATCACCTAGAGAATTTAGTATCTATCACAATGACCTCATAATTTCTTTACTTCAGTTACACTTTATTTGGAGAAGTATAGAAGTTTGTATCAATAATTTTTCTTTTTTTATTAATAATATCATCAGAACATATGATATAATCAGTAGATACTTATTTATATTCTGCTACCATTGTGTTTTATATTAATCAATTATCTTTAACAAAAGCTATGTCAATTTTGTATCACTTCAAAATTTAAGATTAAGCTGGGCAGGTAAAATTATTCAAAAACTCTGAAAAATATGTGACTTTAAGAAAATAGAAACAATAGGAAGAAAAGTTTTATAGTTTGGGTTTTTATTCATCTATTAATTTACTGCACAAAATTTCTAGTTGTACTTTTGCTTTAGGAAATAGACTTTTGTACTTCACTATTGGTTTTTTTTTCTTTTAAAACTTTTTTACTATAGGTAAAAAAGGTGTTTTTTGACTTTTCTTAATTACTAGAAGTCAAGTTTTTATTTAAAAAAAAATATAAATAAGAGAGAAAGATTGAAAGAGACTCTTGAGATTATCCTTTAAGTTGTTTTAAGGAAAGTTATAAGATTTTATTGATAGAAAAATATAAATTTTTTTTGCATATATCTTATTTTTTTTTTTTTTTTTATAATAACCCTCTGTTAGGTTAGTTAAGTGTGCTTTATTAAACCTTTGTAAACTATACATAAAAATGTGTCGCTAAAGCTATATCTCTAACTA